CCCGCGGCGCCGGGCCCCCCCGCCGCGGCTGCGGATTTGCTCCCGGTGCCTCTGGTCTGCTGGGGACCGTCTCCAGCAGACCAGGGACACTGGGAGCAAAGCCGGGGAGGCGGAGGGGCGCTGGGGTATAAGACGAAAACCTATCTTTTAACTAAAAAATTAGGGGGTCGTCTTATACACCCAGTCGCCTTATACGCCAGAAAATACGGTAGCCTGGTTCTCAGTCCCCTGGAACAAAGCCTGGCGCTTTTCTTGTCATCGCCTGCGCTGGGACAGACAGGGCAGTTTTTGTGACTGCATCCTTCAGCGTGTACATTCTGGTTCTTTATGGCCCATTCTCTCCACTGCCGGGTATTATCCCGGTAGGTTGGGATCAGTGTCTTTAAAGGGACAGCTCGTGTAATTATCGCTTACCACTGCAGTCACTGCAAGGCGTCTGCGATGCAGCATCATGCCCTGGTCACACAAACCCTGTTAATCCCGACAAGCTGACAGTCGGTTTAGGCCTCATGTGCCTTGAAGTGCACAGCCGTGGTCCTGCACTGGACACACACAGTCCTTTTCAGCTCCACTGGTCGGGGGTGACTAACTGAATTGAGGGCCAGCTCTAGATGGAGCTGAGTCAGACACAGAGAGCAATTTAAAACACGCCCAAGTACCTGTCCGGAGGAGGAATTGTCGGCCGCTCGCCGCTCTCTTGTTAACCTCTGTGGCTGAATAATTTCATAAGACGACAAATGAGAGATCTGCTGGAAACCTAGAAAAGAAAAAGCAAATGCTGCCCCATTCGCATCACCAAGGAAATAAAACAGACAGACAGTGCCCAAGGAACAAGACAACTTCTCTTGGGAAGGATGGTCTCATGATTAAGGAACGCATTTGGGATTTGGACACCTAGGTTCAATTCCCTGTTCCGCCACAGACTCCTTGAGCAACCCAGGGCAAGTCACTTCACCTCTAGCTGTAGAATTCGGACAGTAGCAGTACCCTACCTCACACTTGTCATGGAAGAAAATACTTCAAATACATTTACTCTGTACAATAAGACAGCACATGTCGGTTTATCATGAGCCAAAAATCCTCGGGGTCTGCGCTTAAGCCAAGAGCCACTCCCCTTGGAAAGATGGCCAGGGGAGCTACAAAGGGTTTTAGTGCAACCGATTTAACTGGCACCTGACGAATGTTGGAACCAATGAGCTCATCAGAAGAGAGCTAGCTTTGAAATCTAAACTAAAGGGGGGAGAGAGAGATTTCTATTTCCTGTAACAATTCATCTCCAAAACGACTGTCTTAGTCTTTAGTTGAAGCAAAATGCAGGACTATGTAGCACTTTAAAGACTAACAAGATGGTTTATTAGATGATGAGCTTTCGTGAGCCAGACCCACTTCCTCAGATCAAATAGTGGAAGAAAATTGTCACAACCATATATACCAAAGGATACAATTAAAAAAATTAACACATATGAAAAGGACAAATCACATTGCAGAACAGGACCCCTCCTGTCTTTAAAGTGCTACATTGTCCTGCAATTTGCTTCAGCTACCCCAGACTAACACGGCTACATTTCTATCATTAGTCTTTAGTGTGATCACGGAGAATCACCCACAAGGAAACATCTCCAGTCCGCCCGGAGCTCACACCGGGGGCTCCAAAACGCGGCATTTATTTGAAAGCAGCAGCCCAGTTTGGAAGAAGAATTCCACATTCTACTCCAGATCGTGTTTACTGCTTTGTAACTCACACTTCGCGTTATCACCACAACCTGAGCACACTCCCTCCACAGGCTTAAGTAGGCTGGAATTTCCACAGGGCAGCTAGGGCCTTGCCTACCCTTAACGGCAGCAGGGATTAATCTCGCAGGGCTCAATTTTTAGTGGCTCTTTACTAGACCTGCTAAATCGACTGCTGCTCACACTCCTGTCACCTCTGATACTTCACCGGAGCGAGAAGAGTCAGGGGAGTCGACAGAAACGTTTCTCCCACCAAGCCCCCGCAGCGGAGATGATGCGGTAAGTCAAACCAAGGTGTGGACTCCAGCTACACGTCTCATTTGTGTTCTTTAGTTCGACATTGCCCCCTAATGTTGGCCTGGCCTAAAAGTGGGGAATACTGAGGCGGCTGGGTCAGAGTCTCTCTGACAGGGAAGTGCATTAAAATAAGCAAGTATTGAAAGCGCTGGGCTGGTCTCCCGGGGCACTGCAACGATGCTCCCCATGCGAATACGGCACACACACCCCAAAACCACCTTTTATTCCAAGCCTGACTGTCCTGCAGTTCAGCTGATGGACGCCATGGGTACAGTCCTTTTAACGGGACAGCAATTAGTACCTCTAGAAAACCTTTCCAGTTCCAGATACTAGTCAGTCTGGGGAGTCAACGTCGGGCTGTGCTAGCCACAGACTCGTAACATTTTTCTTTGACAGCACTGCCTCGTGTCATCACGGTTGCTTCCTAAATCTCAGCAGCGGTCCCCTGGGCTGCTCTAGATTCAGTATAGGGGGCTGTGGCAGCACATTGGGGTTTCCCCGTCTCCTGCACCCCCGTAGTGGCATGGACAGACTCCGCCAGACAGTAGACTAGAGGGAGTTTATTGCTTCTCCAGGATACAGCCCAGCACAGATGTCATCTGGTTACAGGGCAAGCCTAGGATGCCTCAGCCCCCTTGAGATGGGGGAGACTGCGCCCCTAAATCCCAGCCCCTTTCCCTAGGCTGTCTCCTCCATGCTCCCAGACAGAAACTAACTCCCTCACTTCCAGCCCTGCCCCCAGCCAGGGGCGGCATTCCACCTTCCTTTGTTTCTCTTCCCAGGAGTGTAGCTGGTCGGACAGGTTGAGAGACCCTGGCCTAGTGACTCATCCCGTCCTGCTGGGCCGTGGTACAGGCAGCAGCCAGTGGGGGTCACCCACAGCCCAGCATAGCAACCAGCAAGGTACCCCCACTACGTCACAGTGGCACTGTAGAATTATGAGGCCCTTCACACTTGAGCTATGTCTTCACTGATCAACAAAAAAGTTGTGTTTTTACCATGGCATCACTCCAGGCTGAACCTCCCTAGTCCAGCAACATCCATGGTCCAGCACGAATTTAGTTAGCAGGATGCCCACTTATCATGGGTGTGACCAATGCTGAACCAGAGAATGTCTGGAGGTCAATACTGCGTAGCTGCGTCACTAATACGGCCACTGCTTGCTGGGCTTTGAGAAGACAGGTGGGGTAAATTCGACTTAAATAACAGCACAGAATGCTGAGAGCTAGGCCTGGTGGCTGTAAACAAACTTTATAGGCCCTCAGGAAACTTAGCCACACCCATGAGAAGTGGACATCCGGCTCGCTAAAATCATGCCAAAGCATACATGCTGCTGGACCAGAAAGGTTCAGCCTGGACTGTTATGCTCCCTCATCCCTCCTCTTTGCTATTTTTACATTCTTGCTTGTGTAAAGATCGGTGGTTCTTAACCGCGGTGTAATTACCCCTCGAGGAGTAATTTGGTATATTTCAGGCGGTAATAAATTTAAAAATACAATCAGTGTTCAATTTTGTTCAACACAATGTATGAGAAAACAAAATACAATACAAATGATTAATCAATTTTCTTTGTGTCCACTGCCATTTTAAAAAGGAGGAGAGGTAATTTTGGTTTATTGGTTAAACTTAAGGGGCCACAGTGCCAAAGAAGTTAAGAACCCTGGTCTAGATGTATAAGCTTGAAACTCTCTCATCTTTGTCTCAGTTTCCACAAGGCACAGGACACACCTCTGGGCACAGTTACAAAACCAAACCATCACACAGCGAACTACAGAGAAAACCAAGTCTGCACAAAGACAACCTACTTTGCCAATCTTAGGTGGCA